GCTATGATACCTCCAAAAAAGAAAAGGCTTTCTGGGAAAGATGCCAGTGCCCAGTCTCTAATTCCAGACACCAACTGTAAATCCATTTAAATATTGGCAAACAATATTTCTCCTAACAAGCATTTTTAAGCCAGGTGCCTTGGCCAAAACCTGCAATTCCAGCCACTCAAGAAGCTGGGACAGGAGGATCACAAATTCCAGGCCAGCCTTGACAACTGTGTCTCAATCAATCGATCCATCAATAAAAGGAATGGGGAATTAACTCAGTGGTAGAAAGTTCCTGGTTCGATCCCCAGTACTGGTGGAAGAAATGAAAGCATTTTTAGTAATAAAACACTCATTTGGGGTTTGTTTCAACATGCAAATTAAATGAAACTGTAAAAGGCAACTGAACTAATAGGGTATTAGTTCTCCAAAGAGGCAAGGGTCTGCATACATTTATGATACACATAAACACATTGGCCTTCAAATTTTAAGATGGTAATAATACAGCCTTGTATGGTGGCAGATGCCTGTAAATTCCAGCCACTCCGGAGGCTGAGACTGGAGGATCACAAGGTCGTGACCAGCCTCAGCAACCTGGCTAGATCCTATCTCAAAATTAAAAATAAAAAAGGACTGGGGACGTAGCTCAGTGCTAAAGTGACGGGGTTCAATCCTCAGCAACCCCTCCCCAAAAGGATGCTAACACTTTTGGCGACCCACGATCAAGGGACGAAAAAAAAACCTAAGAAGTAAAGTAACGCAAATAAACCGTGGCCTCAGGCAATGGTGTTCTGCGGGGCCAAGGCTTGAGATTTATTCGTTTAGTGAAGGTAACTTACATGTGTCCCAAAACCACCGAAATTCTTCTTGTATACCAAGCAGCAAGGAACGTTTTAGAGAAGGCGCAAACCGTTCAGGCTTACAAACTAATTTTGGGTGCCAGACCTGCCTCCAAGCAGGACCAGAGAAAGTCCCTCTGGACTTCACCCCATTCCCCTTTCCCAGTCCTCTAAAGCGATGACCCATCACCATCCCAAACCCAGCAGTGACCTAAGGGGGCCTTAAGGAGGGCGTTGCGGGGTTTCCTTTGCTTTCATTACCTACCCGAGGAAGTAGAGAGTCCGGGTCCCTTTCCTCAACCCGCAAAGATCCGGGAACCTCGGACGCCACTGCCGCAGCTGCAGCTAGATCCCGGGTCACATCTCCCGACCCGCGGCAGCGCAGCGCCCCTTGTTTACGGAAGTGACACAAGGAGGCGGTGCCTTCGTATCCTGGGCGGGAGCTCCGCCCCTTCCTGCTCCAACAGTGTCTCTCGGGTCTCCGCCCTCGGCACCTCATTGCTTTTCCCGCCCTTCCTTCAGCTGTGACTCTGAAAGGCGTGGAAAGGAGGACCCATGACCGGCCGTTGCACTTTAGGCTCTGTGGCCCAGACACAGGGCGTGATAAAGAGTGGCGGTGGAGCTGGGAAAGGTGAATGTAGTACCCTTACGGGACGCAGCCCCGCCCCTGAGGCGAGGCTCGGCCCCACGCACTACAATTCCCAGCATGCTATTCGTATAAAGCCGGGGGCGGAGCAAAGTGTCGCCATAGCAACGGTTCCTGATTGTTTCCGATTCGCTGCCCCAACTCTAGTAGGCTAAACCGACCACGGTTGGAGGGCCGCGGGAAAAATGAGGCTGTGATCAGGTCGCTGAGACCCTAAGTGAGATTATTGTTACTACTGTTAGTAGCGGCTCTGTCCAGATACTACACTTGCGTTATCAATAAAACTCACTACAATTTTATGAGGTAGGTGTCCTAATCCCCCCACAGGAATCTCTGAGGGGAGTCAATCCAAGTAGCCAGAGACGGTTTCCTACTGTACTTCTCCCCTGGACAAGGAATTGCGTGTTGGGAGAAGGATTTACCCTGAATGGGAGAAGAAATCCATTTTTCATTCCCTGGTCTGGGTAGCCTTCCCTGTGTGGAGGTTGGAGATGGGAAATTTTAGATTCTTTCAAATTGAAGGGACTTTGAAGGAACAATGCCTTGGCTATTTGCTAATGAGGTTATGCCAATGCCAGAGAGAAAAGGCAAAGATGAATCCACGTCTCCTGGTTTCTAGTATGGACTATTCTTCCACCACCCTCCATTGTAAAATTATGATTGATTGGCGGGGGTGGGGGTGAGGATTGAACCCAGCGACGCCTTACCACTGAGCTACATCCCCAGCCCCCTACATTTTTTTTTTTTTAAGACCCCGAGTTTCACTAAATTTCCCAGGCTGGCTTCTAATTGGCAATTCACCTGTCTCAGCCTCCCCAAGTAGCTGAAATTAAAAGCGTGTGTGGGACACTGCCCCTGGCAGACAAAACAAAACAAAAAAATTTAAAACACAGATCAAACACTCACGTACTCAGTATCCAAAATGAACAGATGTCAAAGTTTTGTCATTTTACAGTTTTAGACGAAAGAAATAGAAGATTAGAGTAAAAGTGGGTGCCCACTCTACTAATCTCCCAAAAGGCAACTAGGATCAGGAATGAAAATGAATCTTTTTTTTTTAAATATTTATGTTTTAGGTGTAGATGGACACAATACATTGCCTTTATTTTTATGTGGTGCTGAGGATTGAACAGGTCCAGCCCCTGCTAGGCGAGCGCTCTACCGCTGAGTCACAATCCCAGCCCCTGAAAATGAATCTTAATAAACTAGGTTTCTATATTTAAAGCATTACTATGTGTTATTAAACAATACATGAAATGGCTTTGGAATGTTGAAGGTTTACATGAATGCTATTGTATTTTGTGAATTGATCTGCAACTCAATATTTTTCACCCAATTCTATGTTTTTAGATCTATCTATATTGCTTTATATATTTACTTCATTTTTTGCCTATATAATCAAAATAGGTTTGCTACAAATTATTTGGAACTCCTATATTGATGAATATTTAGATCTTTCCCCATTTATTGCTATTACGATCAATGCCCTAGGATATATTCTTATCAGTTTCTTTTCTCAGAACCCTACAGTGCTGGGCATGGTGATTCACACCTGCAATTGCAGCTACTCAGGAAGCTGAGGCAGAAGGATAGCAAATATGGGACCAGCCTGAGTTACTTAAGGAGATGCTACCTAAAAATAAAAAGGGTTTGGATGTAGTTTAGTGGTAGAACACCCCTGGGTTCAATCCCTAGTAACAAACAACAACAACAGAAAAAATAAACCCTGTAGTCAGAGATCTTTATTCTTGATAAAAGAAATTAACAATAAATTAGGAGGCAAATAAGACTATCATTTGATGGTTAAATGCCTTGAAATAGCAGTTTAAAGTCATAGGGAGTTATTGTAAGGAGTGGGGTACTGAAGGATGAATATCAGGGGAGGCCTTCCTGAAAAGACAGCTTCTAGGTTGAGATCTGAATGAAGCTCATGATCCAACCTTGGAATGATCTAGGAGAGGAACATCCCTGAACAAAACATATCCTGAAGTTCAAGTCTTAAGGCAAAGTGAGCTTGGCATGTTTGAGAAAGCAGTAGATTGGCCTTCCTGCCAAAAGATCTAATACTTAGAAACTAAAACTTAGTTTTAGTTCTTAAAACTTATCATTTAGGATAGTTTGTGATTTTGCAAATTCATGTTTTAATCCAATTTCAAACTTATTCTTCCTTTTAAGGCCAAGAGTAATTGACAGGATTAGGGGATGGTTATCACCAAGGTAGGTGGTCATTTCCACAAATTCTTGTAATAGGAGCACTCCAGTTTCTGAAGGCTGTGTTAACCAGAAAACAAAATATATCATGGGTTATACTGCATCATGACCCTTCCTTCAGTTTTCTCTCCTTTTCTAGAAGTTTAGACCAAGTTCACCAGTATTCACATGAAGTACCAAAAGACTGCCAAGAAACACTTGAAGGACTAACTCATAATATGTTAATGGAAGTGGAAGGAAAGAAAGGAGACAGGGAGAGCTGAAGGGAAGCAAGGAGGCCACCATGACACTTTATATCTCTGTGTAACAAGTAAGTTTGTGAAATGGTAGGGGGATAGCTCAATGGTAGAGCCCCTGCTTAGCACAGATGAGGCCTTCGATTCAATCTCCATTATTGGAAAATACACATACATGCCAAAGAAGTTTGTTTAAAACCAAAAGTCCTGCCACTCTGCCTTTTAAGAAGTTGGCATGATTTCTGTCACTGGAAAAATAAATCTGTATGTAGAGGCATGAAAGGAGGTAAAACTCAAGGTAGATGACCTGTTATGGGGTCACAATGACAACTGGACACACACAGATATGTAGGAGGCTAAGTTTGAGGATATGAAATTGAGAAAGTCAACTTGCCCTGTGTAATAAAGGAGGAAAAATCATTCCCTGGAGTGTGGGGATTGAGTGTTGTTGCTAAGAAACAGCAAAGAGAGGGGGGCAGAAGAAGAAAAACTGGCTAAAATGATAGATAGAAGGAGGACTTTTAAAAGAGCAAGGAATTTTAATTTGTAATTATTAGTGTTACTGTAAACACACATACATGCTACTCATACTTTGAAATGTCATGGATGAAAAGCTCTCTGTGGATGAGTCATTATAGAACTAAAGTGAAAAAGGTTGTGCTCTGTATCCTTGGAGATATAGTGAACAAAGACAAAATGTATATCAATAGTCTATACCCTGAACTGCCTCATATGAAGCAGGAACTTAGCATCCACAGTGAATGGGAAAATTGCAAACCACTTTCTACCCTACACTTAGAAGGACATATATGTGTTTTCTGCTATATACAGGTAGGGTTAGTTTTAATCGAATTTTAATTTTAATGGGCAGTGGTTCCTGGGATGACATCGGATAATCTACCTGTCTTTTATTTAATATATTTTTTTAGTTGTTGATAGACCTTTATTTTATTTATTAGTATATGGTGCTGAGAATCGAACCCATTGCCTCACACATGCTAGAGGCAAGTGCTCTACCACTGAGCCACAACCCTAGCCCCAATCTACCTGTCTTTACCACTAGTCTGTTAGTTATTCAAGGAGAGAACTAGGTTATATAATCTTTATATTCATGAAATCTAACATAGTGTTTGGCATATAAAAGAAACTTAGCAAATATTTATTAAATGAATGGATAAATGAGAAAAAATTAGGCCTAGATTAGGGCAGGGTTCCGAATGGCATGATTATATCACATGTCACCATAACTCAGGCTTTCAATCCAGAATTATGAAGATGCTCTTAGCTATACCTGCTTCTGGTCTCCAGGTGGCAGTATTTTATCACATTAAATTGTTTTGAGAAACCAGAGAACATAAATGCATTAAAATAAAAATTTAGTTCTGAGCTTATTTCTTTAATTGTATACGTAAAATAAGTGATAAAATATAATTATATGAGATTATGGATTTCTTCCTGAGTTTCAACCCAAGTCATTACTGGTAGTTCTTGCCTGGCGCACACCTATAATCCTACGGCTCAGGAGATAAGGCAAGGAAGGTGCAATTTAGCAAGACCTTGCCTTAGAATAAAAAATAAAAAGGATTGGGAGGTAGCTCAGTGGTAAATTTCCTGGGTTTAATTCCCAATACCAAAAATAAATAAATAAATAAATAAAAAGAAAAAATCACAGGCAGTTCTGGAATTCAAGCAGTTTTACATATATACAAATTAGTGTTCTATTTTGTTTACAAAACACCTGTAGTACTTCAAAGTGTGAAAATCACTGTGTGTGGGGGGGTATAGAGAATAAGGGTGATGAAGATTATAGAGAAGGCAATAATATGTTTAGAAATAATTTATCTCCCAACAAATGAGGTGAACAGATTAAATACAGGGTGGCCAATTAAATTTGAATTTCAGATAAATAAGGAAAATTTTCTTGTTTTTTCAATTATTTTACAGGACATATATATAGAAAAAAAGTTTTCATTGTTTATCTGAAATTCAAATTTAACTGTGAAACCTCTATTTATTTGTTTGTCTGTTTATTGCTAAATCAAGCAATCTTACTAATAATTATCTTGTAGTCGTTAATTCAAAAATAAAAAGAACCAGGTCAACAGGCAAAAAATGGTGCTTCCTTTTTTGGAGAGATAAAAAGGAAGCAGCTGATAAGGGTTGGCTTCCTTATTGGAAGTCTTAACTTTATTGCTCTTTGTATTCTACCCATGCAGGCTGGTGTTCCTCAGCTAAATAACTTATTTTCAGGAAACTGAGGTCCAAACTGTAAGCTACCTTTAGCAAGTACAGATGATAAAGCCTAAAGTATTTTATATAAATACAGTGTTTTGTGCAACTCTGCAAAATCCACATCCTGGAACTGAGGGTGTATCTCTGGTAGTTAGTGCTTAGGAGGCTCCAATCTCCAGCATTAAAAAAAAAAAAAAAAAAAAGCAAACTCTTTTTATGATGGAGGATATTCTAGACCACTTTACCTCTCATTTCTCTTTTCAGGGAAACTTGATGCATAGTAGTGATGACAACAGAAATAGCTGAATTCCTTATGAAGTGAATCCTATTTTTAATGAGCTATCATAGTTTTATAACATTTGTATAGTTAATAACTATTTCCTATCCTCCAGATAGATTGTTCTTCAAAATTATATTTATAAGCAAAATTTGTAATTAAAAAAACTATGGGTGCAATGGCACACATCTGTAATTGCAACTACTGGGGAGGCTGAAACGGAGAATCACAAGTATGAGGCTAGTTTGGGCAAATTGGCCAGATCCTGTCTCAAAATAAAATAAAAGGGCTGGGACATGTAGCTCAGTGGCAATGTTATTGCCTTGTATGTACAAGGTCACTTTAAGTAAGTAAGTATGAATTTAACCAAAGTTATGTAGCTACTAAGTGGAACTGGGACTTTTTTGTGTACATGCGGTACTGGGGATTGAACCCAGGACCTTGTGCATGCGAGGCAAGCACTCTACCAACTGAGCTATATCCCCAGCCCCCATGGTCACATTGTCCACTGTACATCATAGCCTCATTAGTTTAGAAGAAATAAGTAAACTGCCTGACAAGGTTTTGAGGGGGACATTTGATCAGTTTCTGGAATATAGTACACATCGCATTCTTCTCTGAGTCCAGAAAAATTCAAATGAATAGCTAGTCTTTCCTGTTTAGGTGTATTATGAATATTACTTTTGTGCTTAACCCGAAGAATGGAGCTGTTCTACTAGAGTTTATAAAAGGAAGAAAGAATGTTGGAGAGTGGGAGGAAGATTTACCTGTGGTTGGGTAATAATTACAAAAGATGGACAAGGATTAAAGAGTACATGTATGGATGTGTGAGAAAGAGATTTCTAGCGTAAAGCTGAGATTTAAAAAGAAAATATGACTTTGCATAATTATCTACATGAAAAGGAAGGGGGAGGTGGGAGGGACATTGCCTCTAAGAATCTTAGATTTGTGATAACCCAGATTGTGCATGTTCCACAGTCATGAGAGAAGTGAATTCTCAGAGGTCATGATATACTACCCAACATGATAGCCTCCTGCTAAAGGAGAGTTTTATAGAGAGCAAGAACAAAATAAACATATGTCCTCAAACATGATTTGAACCCAATTAGATATTTTTGGACATTCCTTCCATCTTTTCCTCTTCCAGAGGGAATATCTGTGAAGCAGTCAGGGCAGAAGGGAGAGAGGTCTGGACTTGTTAGGGGAGCAGAGTTCTTACCCTGCTACCTAATTAACTCTCTAACCACTGGTGAGTGATAATCTCTGAGCCTCTTTTTCCTGAACTGAAAGTAGCAATGATTTTACCCACTTGATAACATTGTCGTTAGGACTGCACCTAGTACTATATGTAAGAGCAATGAATGCAGAGCATGTGTGGGGGAGGCAGTCATTCCTCACGACAGGTATGTGCCATGGCACCCAGCTAGGACCTAGATCTTCATTTACTTTCTACTTCCTGTATACTCCAATGTCTCAATATTAGCCAGGAGCCTTAATTTCAGAGATGAATTGCTTGGGTTCAAATCCTAGTTCTAGCAGTGTCATTTTGGATATATAACTTGATCTTTCAGTGCCTCATTTCTTTCCTATAAAGTGGAAGTCATAATGGGGACTTCTGCAAAGCCTTGCTTTGACAAAGGGGACATAGTCTACAAGAGCTTATTATAGTTTATCAAGAGAGGCTGGTTTGTAAATAGGTGATTACAGTGCCCTGTAATAAGTACAGTTATAGAAATATGATTAAAATACTTCCCTAGAACTAGGCACAGTGGTGCATGCCTGTAATTCCAGTTACTTGGGAGGCTGAGGCCAGAGGATCATGAGTTTGAGGCCAGCCTTAGCAACTTGGTGAGATCCTATCTTAAAATAAGGATTTTTTTTCTTTTGATACCAGGGAATTGGACCCAGGAATGCTTAACCATTGAGCCACATTATCAGCCCTTTTTATTTTTTTATTTTGAGATAAGATCTGGCTAAATTGCTTAGGGCCTTTTCTAAATTGCCTGGAACTTGCAATTGGTTCCTGCCTTGGTCTCTGGAATAACCGGAATTATAGGCATGTACCACCACACCCGCCTCCAAATACATTCTTTTTAAAAATGGCTGGGAATGTAACTCAGTGTTAGATACTTGCCTACCATGTGTGAGCAGCTGGGTTCAAGCTCCACAACACACACACACACACACACACACACACACACACACACAATCTTTGCTAGCATGAGGAATAGACCAACCTGCCATAAAATTTAAGTCTAAAAGACAGGCAATTTGTGTGTGTGTGTGTGTGTAAGAATTATTTGTGTTGTGTGTGTGTGTGTGTGTGTGTGTGTGTGTGTGTGTGAGAGAGAGAGAGAGAGAGAGAGAATGAATATGAATGAATGTGAACAACAGAACAGTTTCTGTTCATAGGCTTAAGGATGAAGTTCAGAATGAATTGCCATGATCTTTAGGCCCAGGCTTTGTAATATTCCCACCTTTTTCTCTTGCCCCTACTTGCCATTTCCTGTTCTTGGAGGTACTTCTATGACTCTGTGCTTTTGCACATTCTGTTCCTTGACCTAG